AGGGGGGAGTGAGGGACAGGGTGGAGAGGTGGAGGGGTGGAGGGGGGAGTGAGGGACGGGGTGGAGAGGTGGAGGGGTGGAGGGGGGAGTGAGGGACGGGGTGGGTACTGCCCTGCACTAGCACCTGGCTGTGTTAGCGGTGACCAGAGGCAGCAGGTCAGATACAGACAGAGATAGACAGATAGACAGAGAGAGAGAAGGATGATAGAGCAGGTACCTGACCAGACAGGCTGAAGCCAGCGGCTGGGCTGCTCTTCTTCTTGCCGCCTCCGGTGGGCGTTGCGGCGGACGCGGTGCCACCAGACTGCTTCCTCTTCCGCCGTTTGGCTGTGGGCGGCCTGACCGGCTCGGCTGTGTGTGTATGCGTGTGGAAACACAGGAAGGAGTAAAGGCTGGAGCCTGGACCTTTCCCCCTGCCTCCCCACTCCCCAATTCCCCCCCACCCCTCGCGACGGGCTGGCGAGAACCTGACTCGGCGGGGGCCCCGGTTTCCGACGCGCAATTCTCCGTCGTCCTCGTCGACAGGAGGTTCCGCGGAGTTCCCCGGCTCCCTGCAGAAAGACCAGAGGCAAGTCTCTCTCCATCATGACGGTCTGACTGTGCTATTACCACTGTCCCATGTTAAAGCCTGCGGTGGGACAGCTGGTGATGTGGCACACCCCCAAACACCACCACCCCACCAGCCTCGCCACACAGCGGGTGCAGGTAGGACTCTTAAAAACGAGGTGCGCACTGGAAACCATCTTCTAATCTGGCACTTTGAGGGGAAGCAAGAGCTCTTCCAGCTTTTCAGAGCGCACAACAGGCTCTCAGTCCAGTGCCCAGGCTCCCCACCGTGCCCGCTTCCACTCCCCCCCCACCACCCAAACACCAGCCTCTCACCAGGAGGTGCCACCATCCGCTGCCACTTCTGAAACAGGCAGGTCTTCAAGCAGTCCCGGGGGCTCAGATTGTACATCTTGTGCCTCGACATCAGCTCCTGCATTGGCTCCAGGATGACGCAGAGCTAAAAGCAAGGGTCGGGGTGGGGAGAAAGCGTTAAAAATCCGAGCAGAAAACGCACCGCCCAGGACACGCAGGTCAGCCCGATTGGCCTGACTTACAGCTCGGGAGCAGCTCGCACAGAACTGCCCTCACTGAACGCAAGCCTCCACCCCAGATTGCAACTCAGGCCTCAGCTGATCACGCTCGCATTGGGCAAACAAGAGGAGAAATATTTTCGGCCATCTGGTAGCTCCCCACCTTTGAGCAAAAAGAGAGAAAGCTTTGCACCTTGCACGCCAACAGGGAAAACTCTACAGCACGCCTCGGCCAATGTTGACCAATCGCATCCCCCTCACCCTGTTTCCTCCTGCTCTATAAATCGTTGGGACGCTCTAACATTTGGCGTTCTTGCATTTAATCCTGATGAGTGCAGGATGACAGGCTTTGTCCCTTCTTTTGGAAACACTCCGCACACCACGTCTGGGAAGATTAATTTAATCTATCTGAACGACCCCCAGGTTCAAACGGACTTTCGAGTAAAGTAAAAAGACTAATGAGCCAAGTTAGATCAAGGGAGAGTGAGGCAGTTGGATACAAGATTAGTTTGATGGTAGGAGACAGAGGGTGGTGGTGGTGGTGGTGGGTTGTTTGTTCACACTGGAGGCCTGTAACCAGCACTGTTCCACTGGGGTCGCTGCCTGCGTTGAATCATAGAATCCCTACAGCGTGGAAGCAGGCCATTTGGCCCATCGAGTCCTTCTGGGCTCACTTTCCTATTTATCCCTGTCACCCCGCATTTCCCATGGCTAACCCACCTAACCTGCACATCCCTAGACACTATGGGCAATTTAGCATGGCCATTCCACCCTACCCTGACTGTGGGAGGAAACCCACGCAGACACGGGGAGAATGTGCAAACTCCACACAGACAGTTGCCCGAGGGTGGAATGGAACCCGGATCCCTAGCGCTGTGAGGCAGCAGTGCTAACCACTGAGCCACCGTGCCACTCCTAAGACCTTTGATTATAGGAGATAGGACATTATGTTGAGGTCGCACAGGACATTGGTGAAGCCTCTTCTGGAGGTTGAGCAGAGATTTACCAGGATGTTGCCGGGTATGAAAGATTTGAGTTATAAGGAGAGTCTGGGACTTTTTTTCACTGGAGCGTAGGAGGCTGAGGGGCCTTATCGCGGTTTAGAAAATCATGAGGGGCATTGATAAGGTAAATGGCAGGTGTCTTTTCCCTAGGGTGCGGGATTTCAAGACTAGGGGGTGTATTTTTAAGACAAGAGGAGAAAGATTTGAGGGGCAACTTTATTTTTAAACAGAGGGGGTGGTTCATGTGTGGAATGAACTTCCAGGGTAAGTGATAGATATGGGTACAGTTACAACATTTAAAAGACATTTGGATAAGTACATGAATAGGAAAGGTTTGGGGGGGGGGGGGGGTGGAATATGGGCCAAGCGCAGGCAGGTGGGACGAGTTTAGTTTGGGATTATGGTCGGCACGGACTGGTTGGGCCGAAGGGTCTGTTTCCGTGCTGTGTGACTCTATGACCTCTACCCCAGACTCTCTTGAATAACATGCTGTCGTTTGTTTGAGGCATGCCCCTTTTCACCAGGAGAAAATTAACCGCTTGTTGGGTGTTATACTGCTCGCCAACACCTTCTCTAAGCGGTTTTAAAACAAACTAGATCCCCAGAGAGCTGGCACTGCCTACTCGAGGAGAAGGTAAAATTGACATTTTGATGATGGAATCGGGAAGGGAAATATTTCGGGCAGAAGGAAGAGAATCCTTTATATTAAAAGCATTAAAGGATGTGAAGAAACAGCGACATCAGACACTTGCTGTCCAGCAAATGTGGCAAATAACAATTAACTACCACATTAAAAAAACATTTACACCAGTCCTGAGGGTCACTTTTAAGCCCAGCAGCGCAGAATAGTGAAGTGCTTTGAGTGCAAAGTAGGTGCAGAGCAGGGAATAAACGCAGGAACACAAACAGACAACGCTGAAAAAGGTCTGCATCTGTGGAGAGTTGGCAGAGTCACTGGACCTGAAAACATTAACTCTGCTTTCGCTCCAGACCTGCTGAGCTTTTCCAGGGATTTTTTTGCATTTTGTTTCTGATTTCCAGCTTTCGCAGCTCCTTCGGACTCTAACAGACACAGGAGCAGGCACCAGCTGGTCTTAAAGACATACACACGCAGTGTCGCCAATTTGGTGCCAGGTTTGTGCCAACAAAGACAGACTGTACTCCAAAGCGCGGCATGTCTATTTACAGGCGCGGTCAGCCTGCACAGATTGTACACTTACTCTGAGGTAGTTCAGGGTGAAGTTGGAGAGGCCAGAGCGGGTGATACTGTTGGATAACTGCTCCAACATCGGAGGGTCCTGGGCCTGTCGAGGGGGAAAAAAAAAAGCAAAGCGTAGTTATGGTGGGAAGGGTGTGGATTCACCGAAACCCTGGAGGCGTGGAGATGGCTCGAACAACCAATCAGCAACCTCTCCTCGGGCAGTACAAGCCGAAAACTGGCATTTTTGCATCCGTCCCGAGGAGAACGGGACTGAACTCTGGAGAACACATCACTCTCCCCAGCAACACCAAACGGTACAAATGACGTCACGAGATGCATTCCATGCTCATTTTGCAATAGTTAAATTTCGCAGTGACGGGAGGCAATCTTTCATTAAACAAATCGACTGTGAGCGTTCCACTCACCCAGTTTCACATGCTTCGATAAAATTTATCTGTTCAAGCAGGGAAAGATGAACTGATGTCACCTTCAGCACCCGTACAGAGCCATTCGGCCCATCGGGTCCTCACCGACCCTCCAAACAGCAACCCTCCTAGGCCCATCACCACCCCACCCTACCCGTGTAACCCCACATTCATCACGGCCAATCCACCCTAACCTGCACATCCCTGGGCACTATGGGTAATTTAGCACGGCCAAACCACCCTAACCCGCACATCCCTGGGCACTATGGGTAATTTAGCACGGCCAAACCACCCTAACCCGCACATCCCTGGGCACTATGGGTAATTTAGCACGGCCAAACCACCCTAACCCGCACATCCCTGGGCACTATGGGTAAT